ATTTTTGAGGAAAGTTATGAATATTTTTCCTCTAAATTTTCAGAATCTTTAGGGGGGGTTCCGATCAAAATTATCTGCAAAATTGGAAGGAAATATTCACGATTTTACCAGAAAATTCGTGTTTTATCGAAGGAAATTTACCAACGCCTGAAGGTTCTTACGGCGTTCTTCCTAAGCACAGCAGTGTAAGCGGGTAGCGATTCGCCAACTCAGCTCGAGTGACTCCCCCTTCGACCCGTTTAACCTCGTTTAACCTCGCGCATCCGGACTCGGGCCATTCATTAAGGAACTCACCAACAATTATGCGTTAAAATGTCACTTTAGTTTATTAATTAGTTATGAAGATGAATGGGAAAGCAAAGGGTAGTCGAAGAGCCAACCCTTAATCCCCACCCACACCCTCTGCCACCCCCACACAGCTGATCATCCTTTTCCTCTCGAATCCCTCGCACCATACTGCCGCGCTAAGGAAGAACGCCATAAGAGCCTTCAGATGTTGCCGAATTTCCTTCGATAAAAACCGAAATTCCTGGGAAAATTGTGAATATTGTTTTCCAAAATGTTCAGACAATTTTGTACGCCAGTTAACCCTATTGTATAAGCTAATCGTTGATTTTGGACAGAAAATCTACATTGTACATAGTATTTTTTCGACAATAGAGTCACTTGGAATTGGTCTTTGTGGTTTTTTTAAAGTTAGGAGATCAGACTTATAATGTTTACAAAAAGAATTTGTTTGCTTTGATTCAATTTAAGACTCCAGTATAGAAATAAAGCTGAAAACCATCAAATTGTTGCTTTTATGCAACGCTATGCAATAAAGGGTTGATCTAAAATATCTGAAAATTTCAAGTAAAAATATGCTTAAATTGCGTCAACAATAAGTATTTTATCGAGGGAATGTCTGCTACATCTGAAGACTTATACGGCGTTCTTTCTTAGCACGGCAGTAAAGTCGAGGAAAAAAGGCAGGTTTACAGTTCTTAATATTTTGAGTACAGTTTCCTCACCTACTACTCCTTCATTCCATTATTATAAGATTTGCGTGTTTTCCTCCTGTAAACGACCCATGATTTTTCTCCGTGTCGCTTGAGGTTGAAATGTGTCGATCCGAGTGGGTATAAGTTGAATACTTCAGCTGCCTCGCTGAGGGAAAACGCGGTATGCACATTAGAGAGTTGCCAGATTTTCTCCGGTAAAATGTTGATTATCAGCGAACGTCATGAATATCATCTCATGAAAGTTTCAGAAAATTTAAATCCGATTGCGATTAAAATTCTCTGAAAAATTCTCTGAAGAATATTCACGGATTTCCCTGGAAATTCGTATTTTCTCAAAGGAAATTTGGCAACGTATGAGGGATCATACGGCGTTCTTCCCTAGGAGCTCCCCGGCAGTAGGAGTCTTTTTTAGCGTTTTTCGCACGTGGGGAGCTTGAGCTAAGAATATGTCTACCCTCTTGGTGAAATCGTTCAAAAATGATCTCAGGATGCGGAAAAAGCCTCAGTTATTTGGACCAAATGAGTTTAGCAGGTGTATTTTGGCTCAGAGAGCTACAGCGCTCCCCTCGAGTGAACTTGCCTCCTCACTTGATAAAACCTGACTTCAGTTCGGTGAACCAAAAGTTTAAATCAGCATGTTCCGTATACACCATGGTTTCCCGGTTCGTTGGATTTTGCCCTTGGTTCATCGAACTGAACCCTCGATGCGTAGACCGAACCTTCGATTCTGTCAACTGAGTGCTCCAGTGACGACGTACTTCACACACACTGGAAAAAAAACACATTGGATCTAGAGTCCAGACTCTTGAATTATTGACAAGAACAAGGACTCTTGATGCAATCAGATTTAAGCTTAAATCAAAAGGAAATCCGCTCAAAATAAGAGGCTTGGTTCTTGATTTAAGCTTAAATCTGATTGAATCAAGAGTATTTTTTCTTGTCGATGTTTTTAAGAGTCTGGACTCTTTTACCAGTGTACCCCGAGCTGCTATTCTCCCTATAATAGACGAGATTTTGCGACTTGATTTGGTTAAGTTTTTTGATAGATGACTGTTGTCGCTGTTAGAATTTGACAAATCAAAATCGAGTATTTAATTTTTGACCAAGTCCTGAAGGAAACGAGCAAAATCCTGGATTAGGATAAAAAACGCGCCAATTTGAGTCCACCTCTATATGAAGCCTCATATCCATGCACAGATGGGGAGCAAATACTTTAACGGGGTTGCCTTTTTGTTTGGAGACTTGTGGAGAAAAACTGAAAACATAGCAATCCTGATTATATGAAATGCTCCCTGTGCGTTTATGGAGAGTTTGGCTTGGTATAGAGATGGATGCTCAGGATGGCGTGGGATATCTCCGCTATCACGGCCTCAACTTTGAGAGCTTTTTTTTAGTTTTTGAAGGGTTTTTTTCGGAGAAAATCAGTGGCACCATCGTGTTTCTCGCGAAATTGTAGGTAGAAATCAGTGCTAAAGGTGATTCGATGGACGCCATATTTTGTATCAGGATGACATGCGATATATCGCATCAATTCGTTCCATAATTTCAGGTACTTTAGTCATTTTTTTCGAATTTTGAGATCCCAATTCTGTTGCCAGAAGACTGAAGAATTCACTCACCAATTTTGACAAACAAATTCAACGTAATAAAGGCAGGGGTTTTTCAGAGGAAAATTATCGCATTCAAGTGCAGTTTCGATATCAGTAATGGATGCGATATTTTTTCCTTTAAAAAAACCCCTCCCTTTATAACGTTGCGTTTCTTTGTCAAAATTGGTACATGAATTTTTTAGTCTCGCGACGAGAGATGTGCGATCTCAAAATTTAAAAAAAATGCTGAAATTATGGAGCAAATTGAAGCGATGTATCGCAAGTCGCTCTGACAAAAAATGGCAACCGTCGAATCACCTAAAATCGTAAATTCCTGACAAATGCAAGAGCCTTATTACTTCATTCGCAAAACTCCCCTACATGCAAGAGCACCCCAGTCAGACAGCTAGGGACGCACAGTGGATCGACTCAACAAGAGAGGTCGCACATACAATTTTGGACTAAAACTGAAATTATTGTTATTTAGTTCGTCACATTTTGAATTTTAAGGGGTGCTCTTACAAGGAAATTTCACGAGGAAACCAATGGAGCCACTTTCAGAACCTCATTGTTTTACATAAACGGAGTTATAAGCGTTTAAAGTTTCCAAATTTTGTCCAACCTCTCCTATTGACTCGATCCACTGTGTGTCGCGCCGCGTCGTGCAGTTAAAAATACTCGAATTTGTTCACGGCGCATTGATACAACTATTCGTACTCTATGGATGTCCGTGTTGCATACACACACAGTTGAAGGCGTTTTAACTTTTCTTGACGTCGCGTCGCAGTGATGCACAGTGGCGTGGCGTGCTTTGCGATTTATCGAATGGTCGGCCCTTTCAACCTATGGAAAAGGATCGATAAACAGGGTGTTCGCAGCGAACACCTTAATAATCGATTCTTTACCATAGGTTTAAATTACATATCAATCGATATATCGCAATTCACGCCACGCCACTGCATGATGCAATAAGCGCGTTGTTTTGCAAATTCCTAACATATTCTTTCAACTTGGTTCATCGTTTCTCAAACAGTTGTCATTGCAAGGTTTCAATGTAGGCTAAAGCAATTTCTGTCGAAAATATTTCTGATCCTTGAAATGTAATCAGAAGAAAATGCGGTGAAATCGAAAAACTGTGTATAAAAATTGTGTATAAACGGAGTTATAAGCTTTTAAAGTTTCCAAATTTTGTCCGACCTCTCCTATGAAATCGATCCACTGCGGGACGCTCCGAAATGGAATCGAATACACCGGAGGTGATTCGGCGGAGATCACTAGAGTCCCTTTATACTGAGAGTCAAGACAACACCCTCTCATGGAGTCACAAACGGGAATAAAGATTACAGAAATTGAATGTTTTTTGTAATCTTTAATCGGCCCATTCTCAAATTCCTTCCTCCGTTCCTTCACTCATTCCATTTGTTCCTTGCCGAACCCGTAATTCTCCGGTCCATTCCAGATTATAATCTTTGCAATCGGTGAAAATGTAATCTTTATTCTCGTTTGTGACACTGCGAAGGCCTAAAACACGGGAACCAATCAGAAATGGATTCACATTGTATTGACTCTCAGTATAAAGGGACGCTAGCTAAAGCGATTTCTGTCTAAATATTTCTGATCCTTGAAATGTAATCAGAAGAAAATGCGGTGAAATCGAAAAATTGTGTATAAACGAAGTTATAAGCTTTTAAAGTTTCCAAATTTTTTTCTTTCAACTTGGTTCATCGTTTCTCAAACAGTTGTCATTGCAAGGTTGCAATGTAGGCTAAAGCAATTTCTGTCGAAAATATTTCTGATCCTTGAAATGTAATCAGAAGAAAATGCGGTGAAATCGAAAAACTGTGTATAAAAATTGTGTATAAACGGAGTTATTAGCTTTTAAAGTTTCCAAATTTTGTCCGACCTCTCCTATGAAATCGATCCACTGCGGGACGCTCCGAAATGGAATCGAACGCATCGGAGGTGATTTGTCGGAGATCACGAGGTCCAGATCTTGGTGATCACCCCCATTAGACGGGAGCAACAGGGCCCGTGAAGAAGCACAATCCCCGCGCCGAGCGACACCGCACCGGAGCCATGTGTATACCTGACGGTCGATAGGTTTTACATTCGTAAGATAGGAGTGTGCGACTCTTTAAAGCCGTCCAATTTCCCGGGCGCAACGGGGGAGGGGGGAGGGGCGGTTTTGGCGCGGGACAATCGCGACGCGGGGGAGAC